AATGCATCTGATCAATTATAATTTTTAATAAAGGGAGCAAATTAATTAGTATCTAAATTAAAATAAGAAATATCAATAAAACCAATAAATGCAGTATTGTTGAGATTTTTTTTTCATTTCCATTTACATAGTGCATGTTTTCAAAAAGAGCCAGGGCCTGGAAGATTATTGATAGACGACTTGCTTCACGTGTGCAAGAGCCTCGGTTTCACATCCAGAACAGGAAAAAAGGGAAGGAGGGAAGAAAGTGCTTAAGTAGGTGCTTCTAGAATATTCGCATCTACTGAGTATTAGCTCAAGTAGAAAACCCAAGTTTTGGGCTGGAGAGATGGCTCAGCGGTTAAGAACACTGGCTGTTCTTCCAGAGGTCTTCAATTCCCAGCACCTACATGGTGGTTCATAATCATCTGTAATATGATCTGGCGCCCACTTCTGACCTGCAGGTGTACATGCAGACAGAACACTGTGTACATAATAAATAAAATGAATCTTTAAAAAAAAAGTTTCTCCCACCTGTGGTTCACGAAGGAGGCTTGGTGCAGAAAAGCTGCAGCCTCTTACCTCTTCTCTGGCTGAAACTTTGGCCTTATTCTGGGTTCCTGTTTTGGTCTTACTCTGTGCTCTCAGTTTCTTGCTGTCTTGCTCAAGATGGAGTTTCACAACGTCCAGTTGCACATAATGTCTTTTTAAATTGCCTGTAAGGGGTACAGCTGCTGGTTTCAGAAAATAGTGAGTCATGCACTGGATTTCTGTTCATCTACCTTCTTAAAATAGTACGTGAAACCATAGAGGATAATAGCATTTCCTGAGTTCTCAAAAGTAGAGAACTAAGCCTATTTAGGAGACCTAGGTTTTTGTTTTTGTTTTTAAATTTCCTCAAACATCTACTGGTTTTAAAGTAGCAGGGAAGTACAATTATATTGACTGGAAACCTGATGCTTTTAAAGCTGGAAGAGGAGCCTGGATGCCTCCAAATGTGCACACCAAAGCCTACCCCACGGCTTGGTTTGCAAACCACTGACTGTCAGATACAGGATGATTTCAGGTAGTGTATGGTGGAACTTCAAAGAAAATTTACCCCCACCTTGAGGTCAAACACAGGGCCTGTTCATACTAAGCAGGCACTCTATCGTTGAACTATATCCCAGGCACTCTATCGTTGAACTATATCCCAGGCACTCTATCGTTGAACTATATCCCAGGCACTCTATCGTTGAACTATATCCCGAGTCCAAATTAAAAAAAAAATCATAATTTACTTATTGAACTGCATTGGGCAGTATATTAGTTTGTTTTCTGTTGCTGTGATAAAACACTGACCAGGCTGGGCAATGGTGGCACAGGCCTTTGATCCCAGCACTCGGGAGACAGAGGCAGGCAGATCTCTCTGAGTTCAAGGCCAGCCTGTTCTACAGAGCAATTTCTAGGACAACCAGAGCTACACAGAGAAACCCCATCTCGAAAAACCAAAACAAAAAACCAACCCTCCCAAAAAAAAAAACCACCCCAAACCTCCAAAATCCCCCAAACAAACAAACAAACAACACCACTGACGAAAATCAACTTGTGAAGGAAAGGGTTTTGTCTTACACATCCTGATCACAGTCTACTCTGGAGGGAAGTCAAGACAGGAACCAAGGCAGGGCAGGAACCTAGAAACAGGAAATGAGGCAGAGGCCAAGGAGAAATGCTACGTACTGGCTCATTCCCATGGTTTGCTCAGCCTGCTTTCTTATACAGTGTAGGAGAACCTGCCTAAAAAGATGGCGCCACCCACAGTGGGCTGTACTTATCCACAACCTAATGGTAGCAGGTTCACATTCAAGGTTTTCTTTTCCTTTTTTTTTTTTTTTAATGTGGAATGTCATTTATTGAAGGAACAAGGAGGTCTTAAATACGGGCTTACAGCACAATGGGAGAACCCCAGAGGGCAGAAGTTCGCTACCGATGTTTTACAATCTTGCATCTAAGCTGTTCATGCCCATTATGCAGGATACATAGACAAGGAACTTCCCTTAAGCATTCAGGAGGGTGGAACCGGACAGGAAATTAGCATATGGAGGATATCAAGGTCAAGGTCAGCAAGCAAGGCAACAGTTACCCAAAATGAGGGGGGGGGGCAGGGCCTACAGGTCCCCCTTTTACTAAAAAATGAGCTTCTGACTTAGGTTGTGTGGGACATCAGCAGGTCACCTTACCCGTCATGGAGATGCCTGTCCAGGCCACTAAGGCGCTCTGTCTTAGGTTGTTGAGTGCCCCCCAGGCATTACCTGTCTCTGAATACTCATTATCATACAGGCTCAGTCGTGTGTAAGCTGCAGAGTTAACTGCTGCCAAAGATCTCAAAGTGGCACTGGGCTTGCAATCTGTGTGTTCGACACAGAATGGCCCAGCTCTTATAAAGGAAAACATTAAATGGGCTGACTTATAGTTCAGAGGTTCAGTCCACTATCATCATGGGGGGGACATGGTGGCATGCAGGCCCACATGGTGCTGGGGAGGTAGCTGAGAGTGCTACATCTTGTGCAGGCAACAGAAAGCTATCTTTTTCACTGGGCATGCCTTGAGCATTTATGAGACCTCAAAGCCTGCCTCCACAGTGACACACTTCCTCCAAGAAGGCCACACTTATTCCAACAAGCCATACCTTTTAATAGTGTCATTCCCTTTGGGGGCCATTTTCTTGCAAACCACCACAGATGGTTAGTGTTAATATGCAGCTTGACCAAATTTACGGACATCTGGGAGATGGGCTTCTTAGCACACCTATGGGAGATTATCTTGATTATCTTAACTGATGTGGGAAGATTCAGCTTGGCCTTGAACTCACAGAGAGCCGATTGCCTCTGCCTCCCTGAGTGATAGGATTAAAGGTGTATACCACCACTTCCCAGCTTCAGGCTGCTTTCTTATGCCATTTGGGACTGCCTGCCCAGTAATGGCACTGTCCCCTGTGATCTCGGCCACCAACATCAATTATTAGTCAAGACAATGCACTACAAACCTGTCTATGGGCAAGTCTCTTTCTCTCTCTCTCTTTTTTTTTTTTTTTGGAGCTGAGGATCGAACCCAGGGCCTTGCGCTTCAAGCGCTCTACCACTGAGCTAAATCCCCAACCCTACAGGCAAATCTTATGGAGGCATTTTCTCAACTGATAGTCCCTCTTCCCAAATGATTCTAGCTTGTGTCAGGTTGACCTAAAACCAGGCAGCACAGGGAGCTGAAGGGGCATTGATTTAGGAAATCAAGGAAATAATCGCACAGGAGGTAGGAAGGTATTCCAATCATGGTGTGAGTGATACAAGAACCTGCTTGGGAAAACTTTCTGTTTGTAGTCTGTAGGCTGCTTTGACAAGGCAGCGTTACAATATGGGTCTACTTAATTTTTTTTTATTATTTTATGGGTATGAATGTATACCATGTGTATACCTAGGACCCATGGAAGCCAGAGGAGGGAGCTAGAGTTAACTGCTGTGAACCACCATTTCAGTGCTGGGAATCAAACCTTGGTCCACGCAAGAGGGGCAAGAGCTCCTAACCACTGGGGCATATCTCCAGGCTTCCTGGGTCAACTCCTAACTCCATTCTCAATCAAGCCTGTGACACTGGGTGAAATATGAACAACATTGTCTCCCTTAGTAAGTGTGGGGGTCCTCTTTCCCTCTCAGCCTGTTGGCCACCAGGTTGAGAGGAGAAAGAGGCAGAAGGGACGACAGAAAGCTTTGTGATCGGAGACAACCCTCCAGGAGAAAGATTTCGGTAAATCAGCTCAGTTTTATTCCAGAGTATAAGGAATATATAGGATTGGGCAGCCTGGGGACAAATCCTAATTTGTGTGAAGTGGTACCCTTCTATCACAAGGCTTAGTGTGTGGCAGTAGGGTCCTGTAGCAGAGCTCCTAGTCTTCTTAGCAGGGATCTGTGCCAAGGGTCAAGCTAAAGACCAATCGGGCACCTGGATTTAGAGACAGCGTTTAGATAGGATCAGTTCTCCAGGCCAAGGACATTCTCCAGATAAGGGCAGGTAGAAGCAGGAAGGTAGAAGTTCTGCTGGAGGGAGGGAGCTCCATGTTGCCAAGCTTATTGAGATAATTCCAGGCCATGAGGAGGCTGCCACCTCTGACCAGCCAGCAATGTCTTCCAACAAGTAATAAAATGGGACATCGATAAACTGACTTTGAAGCACTTATGTGGGATTGATCTGTTGGCCTGTTTCTTCAGCCTTGAAACATCCTAAGCTTACTCATCCTTGAGCCAACTTTGCTGAGTGTGGAAGTGGGGAGGGGGTGGAGCTTCTGGCAGCTGGGCTGATACACAGAACATTTTGCAATCAGTGTCCTCAAATGTGGGTTGACGGTGACAAATACGTAGAGTTTAGCGACATGGGAAAAGGCAATAGGGACTGAGCAAGGAGCCTTTGAGGAACCACAGATGAATCCAACTTTCTCTTACTTGTGAATCTTACTCTGTATTTGATGTAACTGTGTCTTTTGTTGCTTCTTTTAAGTACTGTCATCTCAGTGTTCATAAATTTCTTAATTTTTTTGACATTTACTTATTTAGTGTGTGTGTGTGTGTGTGTGTGTGTGTGTGTGTGTGTGTGTGTGTGTGTGTATGCCTGGTGGTGAAAGCATGCCACAGTATGCACATGGAGGTCAGAGGGTAGCCTGTGAATGTTGGTTCTCTTTTTCCTGCATGTGGATCCTGGGGACCAAACTCAGGTGGTCAGGTGTGGTGGCATGTTCCTTTACTCACTGGATCATTTCATCAGCTCTTCTTCCACAGAGTTCATGAATTTCAAGTGTCGAATGAGGGGAACTTGTTTAGCCTGGAGCTAACATCTGGTTCTTAACAGTTGCTCTGTTTGGAAGGTCGTGTGAGAAAGTTTGGGTGTCAAAGGCTTCATCCGACTTTGTAGCACATTCACTAATATTAGGCTAATAGTTATGACACCTATTATATACATCTTGTGTTGGCAGAATATATTTTTCTCCTTTATTTAGGATCATTTAAGAATGATGGATGAAGAAAAGATTGATCTGGGTTTGCTAACAGTGATTGCTAACAAGATTGCTGAACTAATCTGGTATTTTTTTTTTTTTTAATTTAAGAATTTTTTCTTTTATCCATTTTACATACCAACCATAGATCCTCCTCTCATCCCTGGTGTCTTCTTATTTAGACATGCATAGCAGATACATTTCTGGTAAATATATAAAGGTGTGTTTAAACATTGTTTTTCCTTGGAACTGTTTGTTCCAAGGAATTCCAAAAACATTTCTGTAGAACAAATAAAAATTACAGTTAAAAGGCACATCAGAACTATTATAAAAAACAGAAGTCTGAGTTCATCACCACTTTATTGTTACATAAATCTTACTCATTTATGCTTAAGGCATAAACTTCAGAGACTTTCATATTTAAAAATTTTTCATAAAGAACTCAAACTTTCATTGGAATTAAATATAGCTTTTCCTCTATATTATATTTTAAATTGATTTTATAAATGCTTTGTATTACTTTTTGGTCTTTTTAAAGGCAAACTTTCACTATGTAGCCCTGACTGGACTGAAACTTGCTATGTAAATCAGGCTGGCTTCCTCCTGTCGGCTTCCTGAGTGCTGGGATTATAGGTATACACCATGATGCCTGTCTCCAGCCTCTTTTACCAAGAGATTGTTTATCATTGGAGTAGCAGTGTTTCTGAAGCCGAGCAAATTGCAGAAGAACCAAAAAGGAATACTTAATATATCTCTATTAAAAGTTTTTTTTTTGTGTGTGTGTTGGGGGAGGTAGTTGTAATTCATGGCCAAAATATTAAACTATTCCCAATCCTTTTCCAGGACCGAAGGGTGTAGTCCTCCAGCTGTCGGTACTATATACAGTCAACTGACAGTCTTCAGATACCAACCCTTTCCAGGAACTGCCTCTGGTTGAAGGGAACCACCTTGCTCCAAGTCAGATCTTTATTTGAGGGGCAGCTGAAGTGAATGCCTGGCCTATGAGGTGCTTGAAGATCAAACACATTTTCCTGACTCTGGGAGGACTGTTGCAGCCCCGGAGCTTGGTGTGGAGAGGCGAGGCTATGCGATTCATGTTAGCCAATGCAAAGTGAGTTGAAATGTTGGGTGTTATTCCCTGGTGGGAAATTGATGAGGCAATCAGTGCTTCTGCCCTGAGACTTGTGGCGGGACTGGGTTGAGATGGAATATCTATCAGGTGGGGCCCTTGTGTAGAATGCTAAACAGAATCTATCAGCTGACCTGCTCTACACATGTGTAGCAAGGAACAAGAAATGATTGTTAGTGTTGTCAATACTGTTTTGGAAAACTAACCTATTTATTCTGACTGATATATGTGCCGTTGGAAGCTCCACCTCAGCGCCCCTCCTCCTTCTCCAAACTCCGCCCCTCTCAGAAAGCCTGTGAAGGGGTGGCTCCTCCCCCAGGGCTGCTCAAGACCACGCCTACAGGGTGTTTATGCTCTCGTCCCTAGACCCGCCCTGGGATTTCTCCTCCTCTCCCCCACCTCACTTCTGGAGGCTGGAGGGGTCACCTGGGGGCGCTTTGCTCATTGAACCTGGTCTTTTTGCTTCAGTTTGATCTGGCTTATTGCATTGGTGGAGAAACCCACTATTGGTGATACAAAAATACCTATCAATGTATTCTCTCAAAAATACTGAAGTTGAATGAATTTGATCTAAAATATTTTTAAAAGTTCTACCTTTTTTTCTTTTTTCTTTTGTTTTTCGAGACAGGGTTTCTCTGTGTAGCTTTGGAGCCTGTCCTGGAGCTCACTCTGTAGCCCAGGCTGGCCTCAAACTCACAGAGATCCACCTGCCTCTGCCTCCTGAGTGCTGGGATTAAAGGCGTGTGCCACCACCACCTGGCAAAAGTTCTACTTTTTAAGGAATTTTAAATATCAGTAAGTAGCATACAAACAGTTGTCAGTGGTTTCCAGGTTCCTCTTCTGCTGTTCTTGGACAGCTTTGTCTTTTAAGTCCTATCCTGGAATCCTTCCTAAGCAATGTATTCAAAGGGGGGAAAAATCCCCCTCCCCACAGTGATTAGTAATCCAGCCAAATGATGCAATTATATGTCTCCTCTAGTATGAACACAGGTTTTTCTGTAACATAATCTTTGATCCAGTTGTACTTGCTTAGGTTTAAGTTTGCCAGAAATAACTTCCCACCAATAACAGTGAAAACTGGCCCTGTATTTGTAAACCTTAGCTAAAACATAATGTGTTGCAGCTTACCTGGTCAACTGTTCTGAAAATTTTAGTGCTTGAAGCCTCCCTTCCCCTTGGTCTTGACCCTGTGCTGTTTTGAACTGGTCTATCTTATAATCTTGACTTCCTGATCAGTGAGTAGGGCACTGTGTGGGGGAGGCTTGGAGTGATGGTCACACAGCTTGTTCCTTCTCTTACTTGTTGAGTTCAGAATTAGAGGGAAACTGGTTTCAGGTATGGGTAGATGTTTCTGTCCTGCCAGCAACTCTCATATACCCAACAGCCACTTCCCAAATTACCACACAGAGGCTTATATTACTTATAAATGCTCGGCTGGTAGCTCAGGCTTATTACTGACTAGCTCTTAAACTTAAATTAACCCCTAATTCTTATCTATGTTTAGCCATGTGGCTTGGTACATTTTTTTTCAGTATGACAGTCTCATCTTGCTTCCTCTACATCTGCTGGTGACTCCTGACTCTGCCCTTCCTCTTCCCAGCATTCTTAGTTTGGTCACCCTTCCTGTACTTCCTGCCTGGCTACTAGCCAATCACTGTTTTATTAAACCAATTCGAGTGACAAATCTTTACAGTGTACAAGAGGATTGTACAGCATTTGGGAATGGTTCAACAGGTAGAAAGAATTAGGCTTCAAAGAGGGACTGGAGAATGGCTTGAGATCCAGCATTGGGCCTTTTAGATTTAGATTTTGGGTCAACCCATATGAGACAGAGCTAGACTGTTTAGAGCAAACTCTAAATTGTTGCCTCACAGCTGTTAGCACCAGGAGAGTGAACAGAAAAAGACAAAATGGGACACTGGTTCATTAAAAAAAATCAAAATTAGCTCAGTAGGTCTGTTATTGCTATGCCCTCTACTCCTTGAGGTATATGAAACAATCTTTATATAAAAAAAGAATAGGAATATAGGAGAGTAGTAATATTTTGAACACACACACACACACACACACACACACACACACACACACACACACTTGGTTTTTCAAGACAGGGTTTCTTTGTGTAGTCCTGGCTGTTTTGGAACTCACTCTGTAGACCAGGCTGGCCTTGAACTCACAGAGATCTGCCTGCCTCTGCCTCTCAAATGCTGGGATTAAAGGTGTGCGCCACCACCACCTGGTGAGCTCTAATATTTTAAGAAATGTAATATCGTTACTGAATTTTATAATGTGCAGAAATGAGGAAACTGCAGTTCTTAGAGTCATATAGGCCACTTTAAAATTCCATTTATGCTATTGTGTGTTTTCATATAAAAACCTTGGCCTGTGTCCTTTGTTCACTGATGAATCTATAGGTAGGCTTGTTACTAACAGCTGAATCACCAGAGGATGTTGCCGCTCCCGACTGTGGTGTTTCAGGACAGATAATTCTATTTTAAATGCTACAATCTGTGTGCCAAATTCAAAGCTAATTTTAGAGCATGACTCACAAAACAAATTGTTTGTGTGTGTGTGTGGTGTGTGCACACACATGTGATAATATAATGTGCACGTATGTGGGTGGAGACTAGCAGACCACCTTGGGCCTTACTCTTTAGGAACTGCTCACTCTATCTTTTTGAGATAGAATCTCTCACTCTCCTGGAGCTCACAAACTAGGCTGGCCTGGCTTGTCACAGAGTCTTAGGGGATCCTCTTGTCTCCATTTCTCCAGGGCTAGGGTTGCAAGTGCATGCCACCACACATGGCATTTTTACATGGTGGTTGAACTCAAGTTCTTGTACTGGAGCCATACGGCTGAACGTACCTTCACTTCGTTTGAGGCCGAGTCTCCTATTTGCCTCTGTAAGCTTCCAGGGGCGTTCCTGGTTCGGCCTCCCATCTTGCTGTCAGAGCCCTGGGGTCACAGACTCATGCTTCCATAACCTGGTTCTATGTGGGTTCTGGGGGTCGGAACTCATCAGGTCCTCATGATTGCCTGACAAATGCTGTATCCTCTAAGCTATCTCTCCAGCCCAAACCCTGCGTCTCTTCAAGTTAAAGATTAAAAATTGCTTTGTTACAGCAACAGAAAGCTGATTAACAAAAAATAATTGTGATACTCTTGGTGGCAAACTTGACTGGATTGAGAGGTGTCTAGAAATTTGGTAAATCACATTTCCGGGTGTTTCTAGAACATATTGGTGTGTGGCCATGAACAAAATGTGAAGATGATACCCTGGGGTTGGGGGCAAGGGGGGCAATATTGTTCCAGGTGGATCTGGGCGGGAACAGAAAGCAGCAGACCCGGGAAGCTGGAGTGCTCATGCTCAGCTCTCCAAGCCAGTGTGCTTTGGAGGCTGGTGGCGCCTGTGGGTGTCAAATTCCTTGTTCCTCAGCCTTTCAGTGTGAGCTAGCTCCAGCAATTGCCGGAGGGACTTCAGGCCTTCTGGCCTGGACTGTGTTCTGCCATTGATCCTTCTTGTTCTGAGGCTTCCGTCTTTTGGGACTGAGCAGCAACTGGCTTTCTTGACTCTTCCCTGCAGCCAGCCATTGTGGGACTCCCTGCAGCCAGCCATTGTGGGACTCCCTGCAGCCAGCCATTGTGGGACTCCCTACCCTCCGACCTAACAAACACGCCGACCTAACAAACCCCTTCTTATAATTAAATACAGACATACATACTGTTGTTTTTTTGTTCCTCTGGAGAATCCTAGCAAACTGACTACAACTATTTAATCTCCTGCATGTATTCATTTCCATTTTAGGATCACCCCCCCTCCCCCGTTGTTTAACTCAAGCTTTGCATTTTTCCATGATAGAATTAATGTTCGTTTCACTTAGAGACCCTTCTATTGTTTCAATTTTTAGAATATTACCACTCCTACAGAGATTGCAGTTAAATTCAGTGTCAGACCCCACGGGGCCCCCCAGTCCTGAGGCATGCTGGGAACTTGATGTTAGAGGGGTGTGTGTAAGGAAGCCAGAACTCACAGGTGAGGTCACTAAGGTTGACTCAGCTGCAAAGGTACTGGCTCCTCGCCCTTCTGCTCTTCTTCCTCCTTTTTCCTTCCTCCTCTTCCTTTCTTTGTCCTCTTTTTCTGTTCCAGGGTGGGTCCAAAGCATGTATCATCATGTGGAGGTCCTGGCTAACTTGGGCAGTCTTTGAGCATGTATTAACATCCAAGCGTGCTCAGTTTCTTCTGCCGCTGCCATGGTTCCAGTTCCAGCTCTCTTGACACATCCTCTGGTGTCTTTAACTTAATTTTTTTCTTGTCATGTTCTTACATCTTTTCTCTTTTGTGTTGAGTAAGCATAGGTTGAAGGTAATGAGTCTTTCTCTGTCCTGCCAGCCAGCTCCCAAATAACAACACGGAGACTTATTATTAATTATGAATGCTTGATCTTAGCTTAGGTTTGACCCACTAGGTCTTATAGCTTAAATTAACCCGTTTCTTTTAATCTATGTTCCTTCTCGTTACCTTCTCTCTCCATACTGCTGCTTCCTCTGGGTCTGTCTGGCGACTCTCCTGCTTCCTAGAGTTTTCTCTCTGCTTTGAAGTCCCACCTATACCTCCTGCCTAGCTACTGGTCATTCAGCTTTTTATTATACCAATCACAGCAACACATTTTCACACAGTGTATAAATATCCCACAACAGTTGAATCTCTCTCACAAGACAGGCTTTCTCTGTATAACAGTCCTAGCTGTCCTGGAACTCACACAGATCCGACTGCCTCTGCCTCCTGAGGAGGGCCAGGATTAAAGGTGTGCGCCATCACTCCGATTTTTTAACATTAGGAATTCTCAGCCTGTAGTCTAAATGCCTGTCTTCTCCCCCTTCTTTCCCCCTTGTTCTCTTTCTCTCTTGCTTTGTCTAATGTTTTTTTTTTTTTTAATAGAACCACTTTGCTTTCTTATGAATATATATTTTTAGAGAACCATGTGTGTGAATGGGGCTGTCCTGCGGCAGCTCTGCTATTCAGGAGACAGAGGACTGGAAGTTTGAGGTCAGGCTGGACCACATAGTGAGTTCAAGCCCATCTGACCTAAAACCCTAAGACCCTGTCTCAAGACACCAAGGGCAGATGGTATGGCTCAGGGTTAGAGTGCTTCATGTACAAGGTCCCGATCTAATATGTAACCCTGGGGGAAAGAAGCACTTTCTATTTTTTTGTAAAATGCAAATAAATAATAAAAGAGAAAAAACATATTGCTAATATTTTACTACCTAAAAATAAAGTTTACCTTTTATTATTGCTTTCTAAACCTTTTCTTTACTATTTCTATTTTTCTAACAGAAGACTTAAATTTATTTATTTTAAAATTTTTATGCATTTTAATTGAAATATAATTAGATTGTTCCCCCTTTCTTCTCCTATCTCTAAGCCCTTCCAAAACCCCTCCCTTCAACCCCTTCCACATGCTCCCTCACTCTCAAGCTGACAGCCTCCTCTCTCCTAATTGTTATTGCTAAACATATATGTATGCATATGTACACATATGGGACCATAATATATAGTTTGTAGCCTGCTCTTTTGCTGAACAATGCACACCGTGAGCTTTCCTTCATCAGTTGCACATCTCTCCATCATTTCAGAGTGCTGCTTTTAAAATCCAAATTGGTGTGCCATTCCTCTATTAAAGTGACAAGTCCCTCCTTCCCTGGCTCTTTTAGCCTGGAGTGGTAGTTTCTGAAGTTTGAAGCCCTAGCCTGGGGTCATCTGGCATTTTAAAACACAAAGCCCACCTGGCTCCCAGACACCGTTATGAGCTTGTGTGCACTGTGAACTCAGCATGGAAAGTTGAAGGCATTCTCCAGGTGATTCTCATCGGCAGTGCCTTGGGGAATTACCAGCCCAGAGCAGAAGTCTGCAAACTTCAGTGTGTTGGCCTGATTCAGCTGCTGTCTGTTTTTTTTTTTTTTTTTTTTTTTTTTTTTTTTGTATGACTCCACGTGTCTTACATTTTTAAGGATTAAAAAAAAATCAAAAGAATATTTTATGATGCATGAAAATTACATGAAATGTAAGTCCCTCTAAACAACCTATTGTTGGCACAATAGCCACACCCATTCATTCATTTATTTATGTTGTCTGTGAGGGCTGTTTTTGTGCTACAGTGGCAGAATGCAAGTGTTATAGGCAGAGACCATATGGCTGGCAAAGCCTAAAAGATTTACTGTCTGGTTCTTCGCAGACAGTCATTGCTAACCTCCAGCCTAGAGCATTATACACGAAGCATGTCAAGACCTGGCTCCTGTCTCTTAGTTACTTCCTCCTTGTTTCTTCTGCTCTGAAAAGCTCATCCGGAACTTCTCAAAGCCAGGTGGTGTCTTTGCATGCGGGGTTCCTTTTGTCTGAAATGGTCCTTCTTCCCTGCAGACTCTACCGACAGACACACCTTGGAGGAAGTCCTACTGCTCACAGTTGTTCATTCCCACGTGTCTGCCTGTGCCTGCCATAGCAAGAGTGAAGCTCTCCTCACAGGATGTTGTAGTGATATGTGTACTCTCCTTTAATACCTTCTGGAGGGTGGGGCAGCATTCTGTGAGCTGGTGTGTTCTCATCTCCTAGCACAGGCCTACACGAATAATACATGTTTATCCAATGTCCAGACAAGTGAACCCGCTGGTAGGTATTGTTGAAGTAGCTGTTAGAGATTGAAACCATCATGGAGAAATGTCAAATTCTGTGTTAAGAAGTTTAAGTAGAAGAACACATAGGATCAAAGCTTGAGTGTAATTGTAATGAGTCTTTCTCTGTCCTACCAGCCTGCTCCCAAATAATGACCCAGAGACTATTTACTAATTATGAAAGCTCAGCCTTAGCATAGGCTTGTTCCTAGTTCTTATAACTTAAATTTAACCCATATCTTTTAATTTACATTCTTTTATGTGGCTTGGTTACCTTTACTCTGTACTGTCCATCCTACTTTCTCTGTGCCTGGCTGGTGATGCCACCTTTTCCAGAGTTTTCTCTCTGCCCTGATGTCCCACCTATACCTTCTGCCTAGCTATTAGTCATTCAGTTTTATTTTAGATTTATTTATTTATTATGTATACAACATTCTGTCTGTATGTATGCCTGCACACCAGAAGAGGGCACCAGATCTCACTATAGATGGTTGGGAGCCACCATGTGGTTGCTTGGAATTGAACTCAGGACCTCTGGAAGAACAGCCAGTGTTTTTAACCGCTGAGCCATATCTCCAGCCCCGAATCAGCTTTTATTACACCAATCACAGCAATATATCTCCATACAGTGTATAAATATCCCACAATATTTCCCCCTTTTTGTCTAAATAAAAAGGAAAGGTTTTAACTCTAATATATATAGTAAACTTATATATAATAAGAACAATTATTAAGTAAGAATTGTATTTACAATGTCCAATCTATTTGTATTTCTCAAGTTTGGAGAAAATACTCTATTATCTATCTTATTTTGATGAATATAAAATTTTATACCTATACCTAAATTACTTTTTATTATAACTTGTATTATCATCCTAAAGCTTATTTTTTAGACCTCAAAACATTTTTTTTAGATAAACAACTGAAGTTGTTATGTTTTTTTAACATTATAAATTTTATATCTCTTTCAAATTTGGTAACAAAAAAAGTTGTAACTGTAGCTATCTAGTCTTTAACCCTATCAAAGACCTGATTAGGATATAATAATATCTGTGCTGGGGATGTCTTTCTGTATGCTGTGAATGTGTTGGTCTGATTGATTGATAGATAAAATGCTGATTGGCCAGTAACCAGGCAGGAAGTATAGTATAGGTGGGATAAGGAGAGAGGAGAATTCTGGGAACAGGAAGGCTGCGTCAGGAAACGCTGCCAGCTGCTGCCATGATGAGAACTAAGATGTAAAGTACCAGTAAGCCATGAGCCATGTGGCAAGGTATAGATTTATAGAAATGGGTTAATTTAAGATTTAAGAACTAGATAGCAAGAAGCCTGCCATGGCCATACAGTTTATAAGTAATATAAGTCTCTGTGTGTTTATTTGGGTCTGAGTAGCTGCAGGCCCGGGCGGGACTGGAGAAAACTCCAGCTACATATCTAATTAAACAGGAAGTGTAGAGCAAGCAACTTTCAAAACTAAGAAACAATGGAGACAGTTGGCTGTCTGGACAGTCATCCAAGGTTTGTCTGTAACATTGGGGCCTACATGCTTAGAATATCTGGCAGACTTTTCTATGAAGTAGGAATTTTGAAGGACTGTCCAACTTTGTTCTGGCAAAGTTTGGTAGTCTTTTGTGCGCACACACACACGTGTGTGTGTGTGTGTGTGTGTGTGTGTGTATGTGTGCGTGCATGTGTCCGTGTGTCCGTGTGTGTGTCCGTCCGTCCGTGTGTGTCCGTCTGTGTGTGTCCGTGTCCATGTGTGTGTGTGTGTCCGTGTGTGTGTGTGTGTGTGTCCGTGTGTGTGTGTGTGTGTGTGTCCTGTTTGTCTGGTTTGTACAGCATACTGTCAGCAGTCAAGGCAATGGCAGTTTCTTGCTCAAATGTCTAGCTTTGTCATAATAAAAGCAAGCTGTATATGGAGATTTTTTTTGATGTCCATCATCTTTTTTTGAAGTAAATTGGTGTTGTCAGGAGCAGATATATCTCATTGTCATGAAAAGTTTTATGTTATCAAAACATTTTAAATGTTATGTTTTGTAGGTCTTTGAAGTATTTGAAGACCATTTATTTAAAATATATTTTTGTTTTACCTTGAAAACATATCTAACATGACTATAAATTTGATTGTTACTGATGACTAACTACTAACCTATATTTTTTTACTATCTTAAATAGTTTTTAAAGACTAGAACTTTATATTATATTTTTAAATGAGCTGTACAGGTATAATACCTTAAACAAGAGTAGCAACATATATTACAGTATAACAAAGATAACCTTAAATTTGTATCAATATATAAAAATCTATATTAAAGTAAAATATTTGAGACTAGTGGTTGTTTAAAAGTAGACTCAATAGGGGCTGGAGAGATGGCACTGACTGATCTCCAAAGGACCTGGGTTCAATTCCCAGCTCCCACATGGCAGCTCACAACTGTCTGTAACTCCAGTTCCAGGGAATCTGACATGCTCACATAGACATACACACAAGCAAAACACCAATGCACATAAAATAAAGATAAATAAATAAGTAAAGTAGACTCAACAATATGAAAACAGAACAAGCCAAATACAAAGTTATATGTATACTCTGGTTAGAACTATGTAAGTGGATTTTAATTGTTTGATAATAATGGTGATCACTACTATTTTAATCAAGCATCCACTATCTAAAATGGTCAGGAGGCACTTCAAACAGACTTGGTTGTGTCTACAACCCCTAGAATGGGCCATTTTGGAGAGTCTACTGAGCGCTGATTTGGCAAAAATCAACACCTGTGCTCTTTGTTTCAGAGAACTTGAAGGCAGTCAAGGAGGTTGGCTTGGAAGCTAAGTCTTCAGGGAAATTTTTTTTTGAAAGATTTATTTATTATGTATACAGCATGTATGATTACAGGCCATACTGCAGGCCAGAAGAGGGCACTAGATCTCATTACAGATAGTTGTGAGCCACCATGTGGTTGCTGGGAATTGAACTCAGGACCTCTGGAAGAACAGTCAGTGTTCTTAACCTCTGAGCCATCTCTCCAGCCCCTTCAGGGAAATTGTAATGAAGACTTGAAGATTTCTCTTTGGGGTTCAAAGTCTCGACGTCCTTCTGATATAAGACAGGTGACAGAAAAGCACCAGGTGCTCTCAGGAGAAACGTCTCACAGGAGAGAAGGAATCTGAATTGCTGGCCAGTGCTGACCACTGTGTCGGAGAGGGAGACAATTTTTGTTTGATATTGGGTCACTTAACACAGTGTCCATGCATTTATATATTCTCACAGAACTCTTTTTTCACCTTTCAAGGGCAAATAACTAGGGCTGACCTTGGTCTGACAAAGCAGAGACGAATTCCTGGCCTGTGATAGAAGAAAAGAAAGGCAGTCAGGACAGAGTTCTGGAGTTCACTTGGATGCTACCATGACTCGGCCTTACTCTACTCCACGTTGCTGGGCACATTCAGAGACTGTGTATGTCTGTGGGTAAGAACAGAGTGGTGCTTGACAAAAAAAAAATCCACAGAAGTGGAAGAGAAGGCAGGCATGGTAGCACTTGAGAGACAGAGGCAGGAGGATCACGAGTTCAGGGCCAGCCTGGCTACAAAGTGACTTCAAGGTCAATCTGAATTGTATGAGACTTTATCTCAAAAACAAAACAAAACAAAACAAAACAAAAACAAAAACAAAAACAACAAAAACAACAACAACAAAACCCCCCAAAAAACCCAAAACAAAAACAAAAATGTCCAGCCAAACCACCGTTGTGGTATTATTAAGAAAGACAGTGTGCTGATAGTTGATTGTTGTCTTAACACAAAGTAGAGACACCTGGGAAGAGGGGATCTCAATGGAGGAATCATCTCCATCAGATCGGGCTGTGGGTATGTCTGGCACTTTCTTGATTAATGATTGATGTAGGAGGGCCCAGCCCACTGTGGGTGGCGCCATCCCTGGGCAGGTCACCCTGAGTTATATAAGAAATTTAGCTGAGTAAGTCATGGAAAGAAGGCAGTGTCTCTCCAGGGTTCCTGCCTCCAGGTTCCCGCTTGAGTCCCTGCTTGGCTTCTCTTGGTGATGGGGGACATGGTCGGCAATGGAAATAAACCAAATAAACCCTCCCTCCCCCGCTTCTTGCTTTGAGTCATGGTGTTTATCATAGTAATGGAAAGCAAATTAGAACAGACAGGAAGAAAACTGTAATGTTAAACTTGTTACATTTTAATAGTTTCCCTTCATGGGGTTATGAAAATGCTATTAGATATTTGCATTGCAATAGCAGTATAAATAAATCCCCAACAATTATTGTATTATCCATTACATTTTTTTCTATTAGTTATTATAATTTTTACATATTTAACATTTTTTGTGCGGTCCTTCTCATTAGCATCGTTTTCTCTCCTTTTGCTCCCTGGGCATAATTTTGAAGATCACTCTCTATGCTGGTAAAGACGGCAGGCTGACGCCAGCTCTTGACTTGATACTAGCTGGAGGCCTTCTTTGAATGAAAGAAGATTCATTAAAAAAAAAAAAAGGAGTTACTATGCAGATCTTTGCAACAGGCAATTATAGTACCATAATGTGTTATTGTTAAACATTTCCTGATTCATTTATTTTGTATTTATTTATTTTGTATTTTTTAAAATGGGCTGTGTTTCAGAATTTGTAACTAACTCAGTTATTTGAATTTGAAATATACTCTGTTCCTTCCTCCCTTTCTTCCATTATCATGATGGAACCCCGAAATTTGTGCATATTAGGTGAGCCCTCTACCATCAAACTACATCCTTAGCCCCTAAGATACATTTTCTTCTAAAACAGTAAGTACTACGGCATACTTCAGTTGTCCTCAAGCCCACAGCTTTCCTTCATTAACTCAACAAACTGTTCTACCAAACCAACCAACCAACCAACCAACCAATCAAAAACCCTCTCAATGTTATGAAGTTGTGTGCAAGAGTCCCAGACCCTGGGGCTGGAGAGATGGTTCAGCGGTTTAGAGTATTGGCTGCTCTTCTAGAGGACCATGGTTCAATTGCCAGCACCCACATGGCAGCTCATAACTGTCTGTAACTCCAGTTCCAGGGGATCAAACACCCTCATACCAATGAACATAAAATAAAGTTAAATAAAAATTAAAAAAAAAAAAAGTCCCAGACCAGTTTGTCAAAGCCAATCACATAGCTGAAAGATATTTTTATAGTCAATAGAGCAAGTCAGAAATATTTCAAATAATAGCCTTACAGAGGATTTCCTAAGAGGGAGTTAGAAACTGAGATAAGAGTTTCAAAGCAGATGAAGGGGCTAGGAGATGGTTCACTTAATTAAGTGCAGCCACCTAAGCATCAAGACCTGAGTCTGGATCCCCAGCATTCATGTGAAAATCCAGGCGCAGTACTGTGCCTCTGTGATCCAGCGCTTGGGAGGTGGAGCCACAGGGTCTCTGGGGCTGGCTGGTCTTCCAGGCTATCTGAAGCAGTGAGATCTAGTACAAGGAGAGACCCTGCCTCAAAAAATAAGGTGGAAAGCATGGAGGAAGGCATCTGATGTGGACCTTTGGCTTCCCTGTGCACTTTCACTGTTCACACACACACACTGCCTACATGTGCACCCTGCACACATGTATGCACTCCCCCCCCCCACATACATATAAAGTAGATGAGTGTTGAGGCTGGAGGTGTGGCTCAGTGGTAAGTGCTCTCGCAGTATGTGTGACGCCCAGGGGCCACCACCAGTACTGCTGCCCCACCGACGGAGGGGGAAGTAAGCCCTGAGATGAGACGGAGATAATTATGCTTTCTGAGTTTATCTGTAACCATTGAGTTCCTCTAGCTGGAGATGGGCATAACACGAAAAGCGAGTGGATGAGGAGAGATTTTCTGGAATGAGGGGTGGAAGGAGCCTGGGAAGGGTTGAGACAAATACAGACAGGCACGTCTGTGCAGTGGAGTCTGTGCTTCTGGGAGTTGAACTCAGCTGAGCCAGGAGTGTGAAAGACAGTAGAGTCCATGGGATCGCCCCTGGGCTGCTTCTCCTGGGTCCTCGCAGCCTGGATGGGCTTGCTCTACCATTCTTCATCTCCAGGTCCCCAGGGCATTTTCATCTTCAGATTCCATCAGGTGGAGGTGTCAGGGTCTGCTGGCAGGCAGGGGCTCAGAGTACCACCTTGAGAAATTGAGGGCAGTAACTGTTGCAATATTAAGTGTATGTACTTGTGCGCGTGGGAAAGGGAGGAAGGGGGAACAAGAGAGGGAGGGGAGAGGTAAAGAGAATAGATCGGGTCTATTTTCCGCTAGAAAGTGGTGAAACCGATTTATTACCTGTCTGTAGGTACTCACACCATACATGACTTCTTATATTGTTTTTTCTTCTCCTGGACTTACATGGTTCATCTGAATGTTTTCAAGTTGTTAGAAATCTCAGGGGAAAAAAATAATCCGAGTGTAAGTGGAAACATGAAGTTCAAATTGATGCTTACACAAGGGTCCCTTGGTTTCTGTGTTTTGGACCCATGCACTCTACCTGTTAAATCACAGATTCTAGGAGAGTCATTGAGGGTTCAGACAACAAATCACAAATCAATCTGACTGCTCTGACTCATTTTGCTTCTGAAAGACCCATTTTGCTTCTTTCTTTAAATAAACGCCAACAGCTTCATGTGCCGCTGTGGTTTGGATGTCATCTGTCATGTTCTGGAGCCTCGGTCCTGCATGTGGTATAAGAGCTGGTGAATATTTAGGAGGCGGCTCCGTCATTCCTGGGGCCCTGGTTAGTTCTTGGAGAAGGTTCCTATAAAGAAACAAGTCTTGCCCTTTCCCTAATTCTCTGGTTCCCATGTGATCTTCTAGAATGTGTTCCCGCGATGATGCCGCCTCCTACAAGTTCTCACCAGAGCCTGAGCTGTGCTCTTTGGACTTTCAGCCTCCAGAACCCTGAGCTAAATAAACGTCTTTTGTTTATAAGTCACTCGGCCTCAAGTATTTTGTTTTAGCAGCGGGGAATGTGCCAGTTTAGCAATTTAGCAACTAAGATGTGCCAATGCTTCATTGTAGAAATTTTAATGGTCGTTTATCATGTGCTGCAACAAGTTCTGCCTTCTCTGTCTAGTTTTAAAGACTCTTTTTCTGAGTTGGCAGCTTTTTGTCCTAGATGCACATTTTTTTTTTTTTTTTTTTTTTTTTTTTTTGTGCAATCAAGAGATTCTGGTCTCTTCTGCAGCTGCCCTGTTCATTCTCATCTAGTCGGTCGGTCTTTTTTTTCTTTTGATGTCCAATGCCATATTTTTCTTACTAAATCTAGACTCACTTGTCAAGTCTCAGCTCAAGTCTGACAACAGACCTAAAATATTAGGGGGCTTTGTGGGCCCTCCAGAGGCCCTCCTTCCTGTTAGGGACCACTGACATCGCCAAATTCCTTGACAAGGGTGAGGCTCTCTCCTGTGGCCCTGTGATCACATGTCCTCACCCCCGTTCCAGAGTTCCCGCCATGTAGCCTAGAGAGTTTCTGCCACAATAGTCTGGACTCTGGTGGACAGCCTTTTTGGGTGGGAGTCTCTCTGACAAAGCTCTGGGGAGGCCATCTTCTGTAGAAGACATTTAATCCAAGTAATGTGGCACTTTGCTCAATAGTTCAGACCGTGAATTCCTCTGTCTTTGCTGTTTGTCATAGACATCAGCCAGCTCTTCTCCTTTGGGCTTCCCGGGGGAGAATCATGTACTTCCTAGATGCCAGGGTACATAGATCAAACTCTCTATCTCCGCCAGAATAAGCATGCCCCACGCCTTATTTCTTGGAATTTGTAAATATGTTACCTGTTGTGGGTTTTCTGTTCTGAGGACAGAATGCCCGAGAGTGAGTAATTTACAGAGATGGGTTCATGTCATGGTTCCGGAGGATGGGAACATCTTAAGGCTCTGTGGTTGTGCCTGCTGAGAGTCTTGTGCCATGTCATAGCATGGTACAGACACGGAAGGGACAATGAGCTCATCTGGAAGAGGCAAAACACCAGGGGCCTTGCTCTATAGCAACCTGCTGTCTTGGTAACTAATCTATTTCCCCAAGAGATAGACTCACTTCTGAGAGAATTCACCCACGTCAACAAGGAAGCTATTAAGCTCTTTCAATAACATAATCACCATTTTTTAGGCCCTACCTGCTAACGCTGATACAAAGACAAATCAAATTTCACCATGACTTCAGAAGGGACAAACTACAGCATTACCTGGAAAATGGACTTTGCAGTTGTGACTGAGGTTATGAACCTTGAGATGGATGGGAGGTAGATGATGCAGGATTTTTAACATGAGCCCAGGCTAACCCTTTAACTACAGGAGTCTTTGCATGTGGAGAACCCATCCCAACTGTCATCAGGACAAAAGGCATAACCAGAGAAGAAGGGCCAGAGACATGTAAGACACAGACATTCTACATCTTCTGACTTGAACATGAGTGAAGAAGGATGTAGTCTACAGGTGAGCTGTCGAAGCCAGAAGTAATCTTCAGAGATAGCCAACAAGAAAATGAGGACCTCAGGGTTCGGTCAGTGAACTGCTTGCTGTACAAACATGAGGACCTGATTTTGTTCCTCTGTACCCACATAAAAAGCTAAACATGATAGTGAGCCTCTGTAATCCCAGCCCCAGGAAGACGGAGGCAGGAGGATCCCCGAGGCTTGCTGGCCAGCCTGCTTAGCAGAACCAGTGAGCTCCAGGTCACGGTGAGAGACCACGCCTCAACAAAACAAGATGGAGCTGGCGGGATGGCCCGGTGGTAAGGGTGGTTGTTGCTGAGACGGATGACCGAGCTTCATTTCGGGAACTCACACTGTGGAAGGAGAGAACAGATGCCTGACTTTTGAATTGTCTTCTCACCTTCATATGCCTGCTGTATCATGCGTGATGCATGTGCCCGTGCGTGCGCGCACATAGACACACACACACACACACACAGACACACACACACACACACACACAGACACACACACACACACACACACACACACACACATCCCTAAAGGTGTGCTGTTTTGTCATGGCAACAGTAGAAATATAATATGCTCTCCCCAGAATTTCTTCATATGTCAGCTGGTTTTCCCCCTTGGTAGACTTGGTAGTGCAGGGCTCCAGGATGGTGTCCCTCCTTGCCAGAGACTCTCTCTACCACTGCTTCCCCCAAGGCTGTCCCCACAGCTCTATACCACAACCGTGTTGCGTCTCCTGTCTCCATTCTTCTTTTAACTTAAAAATTAAAATTACATTTATTGGTTCATAGTTCATGTGTTTCCATTTGTTTGGCTGTTTGTCCCTGTGCTTTGTCCATCCTTGGTTTCAACAATTCTCGCTCATATAAACCCTCCTCTTTCTCGCTAATTAGACTCCCAGAGCTCCACCTGTGGCCTAGCCGTGGATCTCTGCATCCAGATCCCTCAGTCGTTGGATGGGGTTTCTAGCACGATAATTAGGGTGTTTGGCCATCCCATGGCTGAGGGGCCCCCAAGTGGATCAGGCCCTCTGAATGGGTGAGACAGTCGATTGGCTTGATCTGTTTGGGAGGCATCCAGGCAGTGGGACCTATTGATGAAATTATTATGGCCACTCCACGTAGTTAAAAAGATTTATTTAGTGGGTAACTTACAAAAAAGGGAAAGGTAGGTTGTGGGGTCTGGGGATGGTATATGGAAGTCCAGCAGTGTCCTCTGGAGCTCTGCTCGGTCAACCTCCACCGTCTAGGGTCCCGGAATAGAGAGAGCGCTGGCCCATCCAGATCTCGGGTCTCCAGGCACCTCCCCTGGCCCCGCCTCGTAGGCGTGACAGTTGCCAGAGTCTCAATGGAGGTTGGAACTTCCAGATTCAAGCTGGAATGGCTACTCACTACAGGGACTGGGTCCTGTGCTCATTGCATGAGTTGGCTGTATGAAACCTGGGACTTATGCAGGGACGCTTGGCTCAGCCTGGGAGGAGGGGACTGGACCTGCCTGGACTGAGT